AGGATTCCTTGTGGAATTTCGTATGGGCGTTTACATGTTCCGAATTATGAGTAGCCTACATTAAGTTTTGCGGTTAATATGAATGGGGGAAAATAAAAAAGAAAAAACTCAAGTTTTGTTCTACTCCAGTTAGCCTACGTGAACTGATAATAAGTTTCTTGAGGTCTTGGTCGAAAATCTGCTCATATAAGTTAGGATATTCGTTCGGGAAACTACACGTCGCGCGGTATGTGTTTGATTCAGTGAAAAGAATCGACTCGGAGTCAATCCTACGGGAATCGAATAGCCTGCTGGGTCGCGCTGTATGCGTTAGGTTTATCAGACTCATTCCCTCTGGAATCGAACTGTACTAGTGCCACTATATGCGTTTAATAAAGTAAAAAGAACCGGCCTATCGCAGTCATTCCCTCTGAATTCGCACTATATTGGTCGCGATGTATGCGTCGGAGTCAATAAAAAGAACCGGCTCTTCGGAGTCATTTCCTCTCAATTCGGAATATACTGGTCGCGGTAAAGTTAATATAGCCTATATTGACAGGTTGACAGTTTTACAGTTTATTTAGTCATAATTAGCTGTTCTTAAGGTGACAACACTATAAGGCGGTTGTAGATAATTTTATACCTATATTTCTACATATCAATTTCTCCATTTAAGTATCCAGTTTTCAATAATCAGTTGTTTACTGTACAAAACAATCAGATCATCTCCTACAAAACTACAAAATAAAAAATTGTGATACAAAAGAAAAGACTGGCTACTCCTTGCAGAGTTCACATGCTGAAATTAAACTAGATTTCAGTAGCACATATCCATTTTTCATAAAGTCATTGTTTACACTTATATTGTACAGAGAAGACCTTTTTGTGAAAAGAGCCAGCAATATTTGCAAATGATCTTGTAACAAAGTATAGGGCGGTGACTGGAATTGCAACTAAGAGTCTAAATATGAATATCTGGACACGAATACTATATACTATACAGGATTAGATACACAAATAAATAAATGGAATGCCTTCTTTTGTGTTAGTGAATATATACATAAAATATCAGCCCATAAAAAGCCTCTTCTAATGCAATATGCATAGAGCAGTGTGCATTATCCAAACAGGATGATTTAAACAACAGCATTTCCATGAGCTTTACATAAAGTATTAAACATGGGCACAATTTATCAGACTTATCAGAGAAGCAATGATGACAACACGATAATGTGTTACGGGTTAAAAATGTGTTATATACAGTATGTCACAAATAAGCATCACAAAGACAAGATTATACATCATAAAGGGAGATCAACAGATTCATACCTCAGGTGAGTCGTGGAGTGACTGACATGAGAATGCTTTCCAAAACACACCATAAAAAAAAAGTCAAATGGAGTCAAGCTTTTTTCTTTGCAAATTCTACTGTGCTCTATCAATATGTTGTTTTTCCTCTCGCTCTCTCCCTTCCTCCCAAAATCTGCACGTCACCCCCTGGGAGATAAGACTAGGTACAGTGCTTCATCTCCATATTTTGGTATTCTGCACTGCACTGGTGAACAATCCATTCGCATCTTTCAAGATTCACGGCAAATCACCGTTAGACATTTTTTTCTCCTTTTGCTATTGACATTACAAAAACATTCCCTATCCTTAGTCAGCAATGTGAAATGAACATATTGTTCCACATTGATTATTCACTCACTCTCATGTCTTTCCAAACCTCCTTTCTTTCATGGATCACAGAAGATGATATTTTGACTTCATGATGTCTTTCCTTTCAAAGAACACATACAATGACCAGGGGCTTTCAGGCTCCAAAAAAGACAAAAAGACACCGTAAAAGTATACAATTTGTGTCATATTTGGACTTCTTTTATGGTGCCTTTGTGTTCTTTTTGAAGCAAGGCACCTGGTACCTGTAAGACTCCATTTGTGTAGAAAAAAAGCAGTGTGAACTACTTCAAAGTACAATAAAATAAAAATAAATGTAAAAATATTAGGCCTGTCAAAAGAAAGCAAGTGCAATTAATTTCATTACAATTAATGGCTTAACATTCAGTTATTTTTTTAGGGGGGAAAGCTAAGTAAAATGTATTTATAATAAGTAATATTTATACAAATTTATAATAATAATAATAATTATTATTATTATTTTTGTTGTTGTACAAAATATGTAAATAATTTTTATTTATAATAAATAATGAATAATAAATAATGATATAATTATTATAAATAAAATGTGATACACCTTTTTTTAGTTATGACAATAATAATCATTATTATTGTTATTATATTTATAAATGTTTTCTTTTCAAAAAACACATACAGTCACCTGGGGCTTTCAAGCTTCAGAAAGCACAAGAAGACAGCATAAAAGTATTCATACGACTTGTGTCATAAGCATTTTCTGGTTGTTTGGATACTTTTATGGTGCTTTTGTGTCCTTTTTGGAGCTTGGTTCCTGGTACCTGCTTTCATTTGTGTGGCAGTGTGAACATGCTTCAAAACATCTCCTTTTGCATTCAAAATACAGGTTTATGCAAGCACACATGATGACAGAACTTTCATTTTTCAGTACTCTGAAAGACTAATCAAGCATCATCTATGTTCTAGCGAGGCTTTCACACATATCGCAGCAGACAGCTCAGGGCACGCACACCTTTTTCTAGAGACCCTTAAATGTCCATTAATTCTTTTTCAAAAGTCAAACTGACAGATTTTCTACATCGATCTGGCCTCTTCTACAGTCTTCTTTAACAACAGTAAACAACAGATGACACCCAAGCTATATTTTAGAGAGCATCTGAGCTCAGAAACGTGACCATCAGCCCTTAAAAAAGCAATAATCTCAGACAAGCACCGCTCACTTCCTCTCAGCAAAGAAAACCCATAATGCGCTCTTCTGACCGAAAACCTTGAAACAACCTCGCATATAGATCTGAATTCATTATCACACATCAAAGCAAATCTAATTTCATATATTGTTTCAAAACCTGATAGTCCAGACCTCTGTGTGTGTGTGTGTGATGCACTGGTGCTCTGAAGTCAGTACACATGGGCCATCTGTGCGGCCAATAAAGTCGGTGTTTGTGGAGCACGCTGTCAGATTTAGCGCCCTGCTGATGCCTCTCCATCTTCTAAATGACCGTCGTTATAAACTCCCCACTCATACAGAACCATATCAATAATTCAGACCCAGACCCTACAACCATCCAGCCTCATTTGCGGTTGAGGGGATACTCTCACGCCATGCCAGGGTCCCATGGAAAATGTTCGGCCGTAATTATCCGATGCTGATGACAACTTTCCCAATGATCTGATAAAGGTGGCGCAGGTTATTCTTCAGGACGAGAGAGCGTGACAGCACTGGAAGACCTTTGGCTCTAAAGTCTATTAAAAAAGACTCTCGGCCATTGCCCTCAGGGCCGTTCATCCTTCATTTTAATGGTCTGAGAGTTGAAGTGCATTCTTTAGCTGTGTCACCGTTCTGCTGCTCGGAGAGAATTGAGTGGCTCCGGTGTCTCTTTGGCAGATGTCTGGAGACCCATCCAAATGGAATCAGCTGCTTTGAATCACAGGATTTCATCCATGCAGAGGCAGCATATGGTTCGTGTTTGTGCGGTTAACTTTGCTTTTCCTTATTAGCATCCTCCACCTCGCGCCTTGAGAGAAATATCACAATTTGGCTCGCCGTGGAACATCATTATTCTTGCTAGAGTGCAATAAGTACAGACCTCACTCTACGGCAATCAATATTTACAACTGTGGCCGTGCCTTTGCATCTATTGTTTGGGTTTTATCACTTTCTGCTGTGCTGGTCCTCGGTTTTGCTTCTGCGGAAACTGCGCTGCCACAGCGCACAATCTGTAAGCTGACATTTTCTGCCAATTTGTAAGGAGAGGAAATAAATGCAATCCAATTACTGTATAAAAAACAATTATGTAGAAGCACATAATGGATGCTATTAGTCTTTTCTGCAGTGAATACATGAATATAGTATATGTTGATGTCAGACACGCTAGTGATTCTCAACAAGCTGTTGTGCTCCTGGGGGCACTTCCTTTTCCTTTT